AGAGAGAGAGAGAGCAGTAGGGTAAGCGCCTGAAGATCAGAGTGAACATCTGAGAGGGAGAGCGAGAGGGAGAGAGAGTATGAACGAGGTTACCTGATCGGAGTTTGCTGGCGATAGTGGCCATTAACAGTTTGTATCTGAAACAATTCTGTATATTAATAAAGAGTTTGGAAGGCGCTTCATCTTCTTGTTGTTAACAAGTGATTCCGGTGCTTGATCTGAGATTTCCGTGAGCCTTCTGTGTTTTGCAAGTGGTTCCGGTGCTTGGTGTCAGATTTCCGTGAGCCTTCTGGGTTCATTGCACTCCCATTAAGTGTTCGATATATCATGGATTTGCATGCCCGCATCGTGTATTAGTCCCTCTTATGAGTCTGATTAGCATGTCAAATGTTGGGTCGTACTCTTCTTCATGTATGTGAATTTTCTTCCTGTGGGTTGAAGTAATGCCTCCCTTCCCTGGATACCAGCCGCCAATATACACTACGCTGTTTCGTATGGAGAAACTTTGAGACTGCAGCAGCAAAGCCTCTTAACTTGCTGACTGGTTGAGATGGCCAGCCGCCTCATCAGCACTGGCTATTACATTTGGTGCCAATACATAGCCATCGACGTCAGGATGGCTCTGACTCTCCCATCACCTATGATGAGTTTAGCGACTTTCTTTGCCACCTCTCCGACCACCCATGCTCCTCCATCGACCCGATCGCTCGACTAAATCAAATCTGATTGCCTGGTGGCTACAACACTTTGGAGGCGTACATCCATGCTTTCAATCAGGCGGGCATCCTGATCCCCTGCACTTTGCCACCATCCAGCGATTCCAGTGGAATCTGCCATGTGACCTCCAGATCCACGACAGCACACTGGACCAGCCCTCTTTATCCCATCGTTCACCACACCACCATCATGGCACCCAACAAGCCTATGGTATCCCTTGGAGACAGGAATAAACATCCAGCTCATGCACGATGACCAGTAGGGATAACCAAATGCTTGAGTTCCAAGGGATCTTCCAAGCCTGAGTCCAAACCCTACAACAACCTGGGCGCTCTGAGAAAAGAAAAATAAACAAACAAACACCCACGTTGTTGTAGGGGTTGAACTCACTGACTCCGACTTGGAACTCAGCCATTTCGTTATCCCTATTGGTCATCATGTGCAAGGAATATGAGTGGGAATGATATACAGAAACCCAAGTTGCAAAATCACACAGATGTCCACGTAGTCGTGTACAAGCAGAGAGCATAAATGCACCGAGATCCCATCCAAATAAGAGCAATACAATGAAGCAATGAGCCAATGTTCAAGCCCTCAGGCCACAGCCCAGCCTACACTACTTGCCTATCCTACCTACATCAGCATTCATGCAACAGGCTCACTTCAACTCTTGAAGACCAATGTACATGACGTCAACACCATAGCCGACCTCTCTTCATGTACCAGGTACGTATCTCGTCTCCCCTCATCAGACCCTGTCCGCCCACACTTGCCTCCTTCCTAATGAGCCAATGTTCAAGCCCTCAGGCCACACCAACACAGTATCCAAAGTCCCTCTTCTCTGTCTGGCGTCCAGTGCCCAGCCTACACTACTTGCCTATCCTACCTACACCAGCATTCACGCAACAGACTCACTTCAACTCTTGAAGACCAATGTACATGGCGTCAACACCATAGCCGACCTCTCTTCATGTACCAGGTACGTATCCCGTCTCCCCTCATCAGACCCTGTCCACCCACACTTGCCTCCTTCCTGAAGACCACCGATCGCCCTCTCACCCCCTAGCGCCCTGCAGCCCGGCTATGGCTGCTAGCGGTCCCGCTGCCCATCAGCACCCCTCTTCACCACTCACGCGCCTGCAAACGCTCTGGCCTCAGCGCAGCACGCAGCCTCTAACACAGCAGCACAGCAGCGTGACCGCATTGCCTGCGTGGGCCAGAATGCTGGACCCTGGCTGCCAGCCTTCCTATATGGAAATGGCAGCCTCTGCGCGGCTGCATGTGGCCTGGCTGGAAGCTTCCAGTAGATTCCGGTTGGGCCCCAGGCTACAGTTGAGGGCCTGGGCCCTTTACAGTTGGGCACGGCCTGAGTCTCCGGACTTGGGCCATTTGCTGCATTTGCACAGGACCCGGGGTAAGTACGTCGACAGTGCTGCTTTTGCGTAGGCCTGTGGCCACTTCGTCATGTATCGGCCCTGCATTGTGTGTATGTGCCCAGGCGCGACTGCCAAGGCCTGGGCCAACTGTACAACCCAGCTTAGGGAGGCTAACGCGTCCATTCAACCAACTGCCGGGCTGCAACAGCCTGAGTACCCACATATGAAAAATGACGAATTTTGGCCTCTGGTGAATATTCAGGCCTGCCTTCACTTAGGGCGGGCACTTGGCTTGCTGGGGGCCTCTGCCCAGAACTTGTGTATGTCTGATAAGGGCCCTGCGAGAGCTCATTCCTCGCACATGTATTAGCCTAGTGTTTATTCCTACCTCTACGGGATACCATGTGCTTCTACATAATGTGCTATAGCAAGTCGTGCCTGACTTACTGACTGCATGTTGCATCGGTTTCAGTCATATCGGCTTTGGGTATTTCAAGACAGCACCACATTTATGGGATGACCATGACCACAGTACTTTTGAATAACAGATCAAACACACCTAATTCTGTGCAGTGAGATGCATCACGAAGAAGCTTCTCACCGTTGAACCTGTTGCAATAATCAGCTTTTCAAACTTTATGATGTCTTTGCTCTTCGTCAACAGCTCCTTCTTCGACAAATCCCCTCCGATGACCTCTGTCTGAAGCATAAGCGTAATACCTGAGTGAGTCAGGTGCACAAAACCCACCAACAAGAAAGAATTATGGTCTCTACAGCATGAAACCTACACTTCACCCACTGTCGTCTCTCTCTCTCTCTCTCTCTCTCTCTCTCTCTCTCTCTCTCTCTCTCTCTCTCTCTCTCTCTCTCTCTCTCTCTCTCTNTCTCTCTCTCTCTCTCTCTCTCTCTCTCTCTCTCTCTCTCTCTCTCTCTCTCTCTCTCTCTCTCTCTCTCTCTCCGTGTGTGTGTCTGTGTGTGTGTGTGCGTGTGTTGTATAAAATATCACCACAACTTCCCCTATTCCACCCAGATGAGTAGATCCAAAGCCATAGCAACTTTACCTGTATTGCAGACAATGAAGCATTCTCAAGATGAGCCAATCCACCAATGAAACAGTTTTGCTTGTGAAGTCAATATCTATTCAGAACCTTACCTTTAAACAAACAAGGAATGTCACCTTTACACAAGCAATGAAACACACTTGAGATGGGGGGGGGGGTGCTTTGAGCGCATATGAGAGTGCTTTATATTCGTGAGATACAACTCCCCTTGAACTCCAGAAAAAGAAAGACTGTGACAGACTGTTTCATCTAACTGTTTTGATAAGGAGGAACAAGTGTAGGCGTGTATTTTAAACAATCACCATAGTAAACCCCTTTTCTTCCCAGATGCATAGAAAATTAAAAATCAATTCGAATTTCAATAACTGAAGCATTGTCCCATGTAGATATTTTGACATGATTGTGATGTTTTTGTTGAAACGGCCTTTTCACTTCTGGAAATTGAGCAATGCAAGGCTAACCAAGTTTGTCCAGTCGAGCACCAGGTGCCCACACACCACTCTGCCTTTCGGCACATTGGGACAATGTAATTTGCCTGTTCTCTTAGTGTGTATGTGCACACACGCACACACACACACACACACACACACACACACACACACACACACACACACACACACACACACACACACACACAATCATCTTTATGTATGTGCTATGTATGTATGTTTTTCCTCTTTCTTGGATATTTTGTCCTTTTCGTATGTCTGCATGAGCACCCTCAAGCAGTGCTAAACAGTCGGTGGTTGGTAGTCTGGAGTGCCTACCTCACTCTTAGGAGGGCGCTCGGTCTGTGATGTCTGAGGTGCATGAGGTCCGTGAGTGGATGATTGACGTCCGTCGGAGCACCTTCCTGGCTCAGCAGGTGGTGGGAACCAACAGTCTGTGAAGTTCACCCGTGATGCGAGTAGGTGATGTGCCGCGTTGCTCCGTGCTGGATGTGTAGACTGCCTTGTCTGCACTCCGCCGCTGCCTTGCTGCCCGTCCCGCTGGTGTCACATGTCGTTCTCTGCAAGTTGCTGTGTTCAGTATGTGGTTTGGCTGCTGTGTTGGTGTTGCCCCGTGCTTCGCTGCACTTTTGCCTTGCTGCCCATCTGCATGTCATTCCTTCCGTGTTCCTTGCTCGCGTGTCGTGTGGTGTGGCTGCTGTGTTGGCGTTGCCATGTGCTTCGCTGCGCTTTTGCTGTGCTGCTCATCCGCTTGCCGTGTCGTTCCTTGCAGTCGATTTTGGAGTTGTGCAGTTGAGTTGCTCCAGCAGCATTGCCTGGTGCTTCGCTGAGTTGCCGCCTGGTGCTATGTTCCAATTGGGGACAGTCTGCCTTCAACATGGGTCAAAGGGTTCATGACCCAAACCATCAATACGGGCATTCCGCAGATTGTCAAGGGTTCAGCCTCCTGACGAGTCAGTGCAACTCTGACGAAACAATCTATCATCAGTTTTATTTTTTTTATTCCTCGAATGTTTTTCAGGACTTGTGTTTTTTTTGGTGTCCTTGCGTGTCGTCTGCTTGATGCTCTTGTGTGTCATCTGCTTGGTTTGTTCGCTGTGCTTGTGTGTGTCTGCTTGGTATATTTTGTGTGCCGTCTGCCCTCCCGCCTCCCCCGTGCCCTCCAGCCACTGTCGTTTGCTGCTGTTTGTTATCCTATGCTTTGACGCCTCATGTCTTCGCTGCTTTTTGTCATCCTATGCCCTGACGCCTCATGTCATTGCTGCTGCTTGCCGTCCTATGCCTTGTCGCCTCATGTCTTTGCTGCTGGTTTTCATTCTATGCCTTGACGCCTTATACCTTTCCCCCTACAGAGCCTTGTCCTCGGTTGCTGTTTCAGGTTGTCATTTTGCCTTGCTGCGTTATCTTCCCTTTTGTACCCATGGTGTGCTTGTGTGTCGTCTGCCCTCGCGCCTTCCCCGTGCCCTCCAGCCTTGTCCTTTCACTTTGCTGCCTTCTGCTGTTTGTGTGCCCACTCACGTCCAGTACTTGTCCTATGCTGCTGCCTGTCGTCCTATGGCCTGATGCCTCATGCCATGCCCTTCACCATCTTTTGCCTCCCTTTCTTTTTGTTGGCCCAGGTGCTTGAGTGTTGTTTGCCCTCACACCTCCCACACACCCTATGTTTTGCCTCCCTGTTCATGACTCGCTACTTTGCCTGGTTGGTTATTGGTTGCTGTCTACTCTCTTCTCTTGATGTCTTCCGTATTTCCCATCGTATTGGTCTTTCCCTTTGTTGCTTTGGGAATGGTCTTGCTAGCCTATGTCAAAGTCTAACAACATATGACCCCCTATACAGTCTATTGGATATTAAAACCCAGTTCTCCCCAATGACTTGAGAAACGTAAGACCGGATGCAGGCAGGGATATGTGGCACGGGCGGTCGTATCACAGGCTACTGTGAGGTTACTTAGCATGATGCTATGCGTAAACGAACACACACACACACACACACAC